ACATAACACCCCTCCCCCATGGAGTACCAGTACATACCACCCTCCTCCCCCATGGAGTACCAGTACATACCACCCTCCTCCCCCATGGAGTACCAGTACATAACACCCTCCTCCCCCATGGAGTACCAGTACATACCACCCTCCTCCCCCATGGAGTACCAGTACATACCACCCTCCTCCCCCCATGGAGTACCAGTACATACCACCCTCCTCCCCCATGGAGTACCAAGTACATACCACCCTCCTCCCCCATGGAGTACCAGTACATACCACCCTCCTCCCCCATGGAGTACCAGTACATACCACCCTCCTCCCCCATGGAGTACCAGTACATACCACCCTCCTCCCCCATGGAGTACCAGTACATACCACCCTCCTCCCCCATGGAGTACCAGTACATACCACCCCTCCCCCATGGAGTACCAGTACATACCACCCTCCTCCCCCATGGAGTACCAGTACATACCACCCTCCTCCCCCATGGAGTACCAGTACATACCACCCTCCTCCCCCATGGAGTACCAGTACATACCACCCTCCTCCCCCATGGAGTACCAGTACATACCACCCTCCTCCCCCATGGAGTACCAGTACATACCACCCTCCTCCCCCATGGAGTACCAGTACATACCACCCTCCTCCCCCATGGAGTACCAGTACATACCACCCTCCTCCCCCATGGAGTACCAGTACATAACACCCCTCCCCCATGGAGTACCAGTACATACCACCCTCCTCCCCCATGGAGTACCAGTACATAACACCCCTCCCCCATGGAGTACCAGTACATACCACCCTCCTCCCCCATGGAGTACCAGTACATACCACCCTCCTCCCCCATGGAGTACCAGTACATACCACCCTCCTCCCCCATAGAGTACCAGTACATACCACCCTCCTCCCCCATGGAGTACCAGTACATACCACCCTCCTCCCCCATGGAGTACCAGTACATACCACCCTCCTCCCCCATGGAGTACCAGTACATACCACCCTCCTCCCCCATGGAGTACCAGTACATACCACCCTCCTCCCCCATGGAGTACCAGTACATACCACCCTCCTCCCCCATGGAGTACCAGTACATACCACCCTCCTCCCCCATGGAGTACCAGTACATAACACCCCTCCCCCATGGAGTACCAGTACATACCACCCTCCTCCCCCATGGAGTACCAGTACATACCACCCTCCTCCCCCATGGAGTACCAGTACATACCACCCTCCTCCCCCATGGAGTACCAGTACATACCACCCTCCTCCCCCATGGAGTACCAGTACATACCACCCTCCTCCCCCATGGAGTACCAGTACATACCACCCTCCTCCCCCATGGAGTACCAGTACATACCACCCTCCTCCCCCATGGAGTACCAGTACATACCACCCTCCTCCCCCATGGAGTACCAGTACATACCACCCTCCTCCCCCATGGAGTACCAGTACATACCACCCTCCTCCCCCATGGAGTACCAGTACATACCACCCTCCTCCCCCATGGAGTACCAGTACATAACACCCCTCCCCCATGGAGTACCAGTACATACCACCCTCCTCCCCCATGGAGTACCAGTACATACCACCCTCCTCCCCCATGGAGTACCAGTACATACCACCCTCCTCCCCCATGGAGTACCAGTGCATACCACCCTCCTCCCCCATGGAGTACCAGTACATACCACCCTCCTCCCCCATGGAGTACCAGTACATACCACCCTCCTCCCCCATGGAGTACCAGTACATACCACCCTCCTCCCCCATGGAGTACCAGTACATACCACCCTCCTCCCCCATGGAGTACCAGTACATACCACCCTCCTCCCCCATGGAGTACCAGTACATACCACCCTCCTCCCCCATGGAGTACCAGTACATACCACCCTCCTCCCCCATGGAGTACCAGTACATACCACCCTCCTCCCCCATGGAGTACCAGTACATAACACCCCTCCCCCATGGAGTACCAGTACATACCACCCTCCTCCCCAATGGAGTACCAGTACATACCACCCTCCTCCCCCATGGAGTACCAGTACATACCACCCTCCTCCCCCATGGAGTACCAGTACATAAATCCCCTCCCCCATGGAGTACCAGTACATACCACCCTCCTCCTTCATGGAGTACCAGTACATACCACCCTCCTCCCCCATGGAGTACCAGTACATACCACCCTCCTCCCCCATGGAGTACCAGTACATACCACCCTCCTCCCCCATGGAGTACCAGTACATACCACCCTCCTCCCCCATGGAGTACCAGTACATACCACCCTCCTCCCCCATGGAGTACCAGTACATACCACCCTCCTCCCCCATGGAGTACCAGTACATACCACCCTCCTCCCCCATGGAGTACCAGTACATACCACCCTCCTCCCCCATGGAGTACCAGTACATACCACCCTCCTCCCCCATGGAGTACCAGTACATACCACCCTCCTCCCCCATGGAGTACCAGTACATACCACCCTCCTCCCCCATGGAGTACCAGTACATACCACCCTCCTCCCCCATGGAGTACCAGTACATAACACCCCTCCCCCATGGAGTACCAGTACATAACACCCCTCCCCCATGGAGTACCAGTACATAACACCCCTCCCCCATGGAGTACCAGTACATACCACCCTCCTCCCCCATGGAGTACCAGTACATAACACCCCTCCCCCATGGAGTACCAGTACATACCACCCCTCCCCCATGGAGTACCAGTACATACCACCCTCCTCCCCCATGGAGTACCAGTACATACCACCCTCCCCCATGGAGTACCAGTACATACCACCCCTCCCCCATGGAGTACCAGTACATAACACCCCTCCCCCATGGAGTACCAGTACATACCACCCCTCCCCCATGGAGTACCAGTACATACCACCCCTCCCCCATGGAGTACCAGTACATACCACCCTCCTCCCCCATGGAGTACCAGTACATACCACCCCTCCCCCATGGAGTACCAGTACATAACACCCCTTCCCCATGGAGTACCAGTACATAACACCCCTCCCCCATGGAGTTTCAGTACATAACACCCCTCCCCCATGGAGTACCAGTACATAACACCCCTCCCCCATGGAGTACCAGTACATAACACCCCTCCCCCATGGAGTACCAGTACATAACACCCCTCCCCCATGGAGTACCAGTACATAACACCCCTCCCCCATGGAGTACCAGTACATAACACCCTCCTCCCCCATGGAGTACCAGTACATACCACCCCTCCCCCCTCTCTCATTCAACCCCCAGTGCTTTGTCCCACGTTTTTTTACTTTGGGGACTCGCGCCTGTCTAAATTTAGATCTCATTGACAGGAAACGGAAGTTGAAAATATCAGGACGTCGTCCCAGTACAATATGTGTGTAGGTTACACACGTGTTATATTGGCAAGCTTACAAGCTGTGTTGGTCAGTGTGTTGGTCAATGTGTTGGTCAATGTGTTGGTCAATGTATTGGTCAATGTGTTGGTCAATGTGTTGGTCAATGTGTTGGTCAATGTGTTGGTCAATGTGTTGGTCAATGTGTTGGTCAATGTGTTCTTTAATGTTTGGATCAGTGTGTTGGTCAATGTGTTGGTCAGTGTGTTGATCAATGTGTTGGTCAATGTGTTGGTCAATGTGTTGGTCAATGTGTTAGTCAGTGTGTTAGTCAGTGTGTTGGTCAATGTGTTGGTCAATGTGTTGGCCAGTGTGTTGGTCAATGTGTTGATCAATGTGTTGGTCAGTGTGTTGGTCAGTGTGTTGGTCAATGTGTTGGTCAATGTGTTGGTCAATGTGTTGGTCAATGTGTTAGTCAGTGTGTTAGTCAGTATGTTGGTCAATGTGTTGGTCAATGTGTTGGTCAGTGTGTTGGTCAATGTGTTGATCAATGTGTTGGTCAGTGTGTTGGTCAGTGTGTTGGTCAATGTGTTGGTCAATGTGTTGGTCAATGTGTTGGTTAATGTGTTGGTCAATGTGTTGGTCAATGTGTTGGTCAATGTGTTGTTTAATGTGTTGATTAATGAGTTGGTCAATGTGTTGGTCAGTGTGTTGTTTAATGTGTTGGTCAATGTGTTGGTCAATGTGTTGGTCAATGTGTTGGTCAATGTGTTGGTCAATGTGTTGGTCAATGTGTTGGTCAATGTGTTGGTCAGTGTGTTGGTCAATGTGTTGATCAATGTGTTGGTCAGTGTGTTGGTCAGTGTGTTGGTCAATGTGTTGGTCAGTGTGTTGGTCAGTATGTTGGTCAGTGTGTTGGTCAATGTGTTGGTCAATGTGTTGTTTGATGTGTTGATTAATGTGTTGGTCAATGTGTTGGTCAGTGTGTTGTTTAATGTGTTGGTCAATGTGTTGGTCAATGTGTTGGTCAATGTGTTGGTCAATGTGTTGGTCAATGTGTTGGTCAATGTGTTGGTCAATGTGTTGGTCAATGTGTTGGTCAATGTGTTGGTCAATGTGTTGGTCAATGTGTTCTTACTGCTGGGCTGGACCATGGGGTACCAGATCAAAATTCCCCCTAGGCCGCCAGGATTGGTGCTATTATTAGATTATTATACTTCCGGTGTATCGTTAACGTTATTATCCAATATTGCAGTGTGAAAAGGTATCCGCGACTACGTTACTCACAGCGTCCCTCAAACTTTGGTGGGAGAAAAATATGCACAATTTCAATTTTAGTTGGGTGGGAGCCGCTTTTTTTAAATTTCCGGGCCTCTTGGACACAGCCATTGCAACCTACTGTCAGTGCCACCCGACTGTCAGTGCCACCCGACTGTCAGTGCCACCCGACTGTCAGTGCCACTGTCAGTTTGTATTGAACCACCTAACAGCTAGCGCCACCCAACTTTTGACTGGTAAAAACATCTGGCCTCAAGCCTCGCCAACTATCGGATTAACGCTGCCGTTAATCATGTCTTAATCCCCCTGCTTGCCATCAGCCCTTTTTGTTGTAATGTTTGACAAATCCAATGACCATTTTTATGCTTGGATTAAGTTTTTTGACGCCATGTTTCCCCAGCGCGTGCAGCATGGAGATCTATGTCAGCCTGACCTTGCTGTTTGTCTTACTGTCACATAGCCCGGCCTGCGGGGAGACTTCCACGAACGAGGAATCTTTACAACGAACGTAAGTTGTCTGCCCTTGAATCTTTACAATGAACGTAAGTTGTCTGCCCTTGAATCTTTACAACGAACGTGAGTTGTCTTCTCTTGAATCTTTACAACGAACTTAAGTTGTCTGCCCTTAAATCTTTGCAACGAACGTAAGTTGTCTTCTCTTGAATCTTTACAACGAACTTAAGTTGTCTGCCCTTAAATCTTTGCAACGAACGTAAGTTGTCTTCTCTTGAATCTTTACAACGAACGTAAGTTGTCTGCCCTTGAATCTTAACAACGAACGTAAGTTGTCTGCCCTTGAATCTTTACAACGAACGTAAGTTGTATTCCCTTCAAAGTTTCTTCCAGGCATCTCTTCGGGGGGGGGGGGGGGGTGGGCCTCTAAGAAAGTCTACCCCCCCCCCCCCCCCTCGAATCTTTACATCGAACTTAAGTTGTCTGCCCTTAAATCTTTGCAACGAACGTAAGTTGTCTTCTCTTGAATCTTTACAACGAACGTGAGTTGTCTTCTCTTGAATCTTTACAACGAACTTAAGTTGTCTGCCCTTAAATCTTTACAACGAACGTAAGTTGTCTTCTCTTGAATCTTTACAACGAACGTAAGTTGTCTGCCCTTGAATCTTTACAACGAACGTAAGTTGTCTGCCCTTGAATCTTTACAACGAACGTAAGTTGTCTGCCCTTGAATCTTTACAACGAACGTAAGTTGTCTGCCCTTGAATCTTTACAACGAACGTAAGTTGTCTGCCCTTGAATCTTTACAACAAACGTAAGTTGTATTCCCTTTAGAGTTTCTTCCAGGCATCTCTTCGGGGGGGGGGGGGGGGGCTCTAAGAAAGTCGACCCCCCCCCCTCGAATCTTTACAACGAACTTAAGTTTTCTGCCCTTAAATCTTTGCAACGAACGTAAGTTGTCTTCTCTTGAATCTTTACAACGAACGTGAGTTGTCTTCTCTTGAATCTTAACAACGAACGTGAGTTGTCTTCTCTTGAATCTTAACAACGAACGTACGTTGTCTGCCCTTGAATCTTTACAACGAACGTAAGTTGTCTGCCCTTGAATCTTAACAACGAACGTACGTTGTCTGTCCTTGAATCTTTACAACGAACGTAAGTTGTCTGCCCTTGAATCTTTACAACGAACGTAAGTTGTCTGCCCTTGAATCTTTACAACGAACGTAAGTTGTCTGCCCTTGAATCTTTACAACGAACGTAAGTTGTATTCCCTTCAGAGTTTCTTCCAGGCATCTCTTCGGGGGGGGGGGGGGCCTCTAAGAAAGTCTACCCCCACCCCCCCCCCCCCTCGAACGAGATGGAATTTATATCGTTAACATACAATTTTACTAGTTTACGCTCCCCCCCCCCCCCCGAAAAATGTTGACCGCCCCCCTACCCGTAAATATCAAGTGCCCCCCCCCCCCCGGAGGAAAAAGCCTGGAAGAAACACTGCTTCCCTTGAATCTTTACACCTCAGGTGTTTAAACGCAGCAACTCATGTGTTGAAATATTTTGCTCACCAGACTAGTGGAGAGAATGGACACAATCAAGAGTGAGTTGTCTGACGTCATCAGGCTCATGCGGTCTCTGGACGAATCGCTGGACAATGCTTTGTAAGTCGTGTCGTCAGTTCTAATGTCAATGTCAGTGACACCTCTAGTGTCAGTGTCACTTCTACTGTCACTTTCACTTTCAGCGAAATACTTGAATAACACGCGGGCTTTTTAAATAGAAAAAAATTTCAACCAATTGCTAGTTTTAAAAGTATTTCCCTGGTCCATGCAGCACTGACGTCACATCCGTCTGTTTCAGGTACAACTGTATGGGTATCGAGAGCGAGTTGTGTGACGCTCTGTTGGTGCAAGTAGGTGAGTCACCACGTGACCTCTCCTCGCTGATTGGTCGGGGCAAGCGGCTAGCTGTGGACGACCACGCCTACCACAAAAGTTTAAGGTGGGTTGCGTCATCGGTGGCATGACGTCATCAGTGTCATGGCATCGTCATCATGACGTCATAACCAATATGATATACATTATCGTCACATAAATATGAAGATTTTTCTTTCTACCTGTTCAACTTTCCTTCAATAGGAAGCCATCTTGAATGTTCACAATTAAAAGATGACTGGTCTAATATTACTCTAACCGTTATATTTGTTTTCCTTTGTACCAGTGTGATCCAACGTTACATTGCTAACCATTACATGTGTTTCCATTGTGTAGTTTACTTGGTGAAATCAAGAGGAAAAAAGAAATGACCAAGCGACTAATGAGGCAGTTTAATTATGCTGACTCAGTGCTAACGAATGAAAGGTAAGCACACACCTGCGTCACTGTTGGCCGTCCAGTCGGTGACTAAATGTGTTGGCCGTCTAGTCGGTGACTAAATGTGGTGGCCGTCCAGTTGGTGGCTAAATGTGTTGGCCGTCCAGTTGGTGACTAAATGTGTTGGCCGTCTAGTCGGTGACTAAATGTGTTGGCCGTCCATTCGGTGATTACATTTGTTGGCCGTCCATTCGGTGATTACATTTGTTGGCCGTCTAGCAAGTGGCTAAAATAGTTGACTATGTATTCTGTGACACAAACATCTGACTATGTGGCTAAAATAGCTGACCGTCTAGCGACTAAAATATTTGACCATGTCTCTGTGACTCAAACATCTGACTTGTATCCTGTGACTCTGTGACTCAAACATTTGACTATGTGACAAATGTAGATGAGCAGCGTGTAGCGCCATACACTCCCCCTCCCAAGATGAATTAATTATCTAAATTAAAACCAACACGTTGACCAATTATAGACTCACGGCTGACCACGGCGGTGTATCCCTCAAACTTACCGGCGTGGAGCCGCATAATTAGCCGGCTGCCGGCTCCAAGTCTCGTGATTAAGTTCCGGCGTCAGAAACATTTGCCGGCACAACGCTGCTCAAATATTCAGCAAGTTGCTCGCGCTGTGACGTCATCTTTAGTCAACAAACAGACCGGTCAATGGCCAGTCTATAATTAGACCAGTGGCCAAACTTTAAACAGATCAGCGGCCAATCTTTAAACAGACCAATGGCCTCTAAAACCTGCTGGCCAAAACTTGTTGGCCAAAACTTGTTGGCCAAAGCCTGTTGGCCAAAGCCTGTCGACCAGATTGCTGAAATTTGAGTGAGACCAGTTTCCTCTAGACGACACATTGGCTCCTCGCTTGGTCTGGAAACTTCTTGGACGCCCAGTGCCTACATTTGGTGATACTTCTCTCTTCTGGCGTCAGGTAACTGCTAGATCTCCCCCCCCCCCCACCCAGTGAGTTATCGCATCCCTGGGACGGGCGTGGAGCCTTGTTGAGACGAGCAAAGCGAAATGAAATTTTCCTCCGCCAGTCAGGCCACTGGGGTTGAGGAGGTTTGAAACGAGCGCTTGTCTGGTGGAGTACAGGACGATGGACGGCCGTACACAGAAGTACTGACCAGTGGACGGCTCCAAATGTTGGTGGGATACAAGGTCATGGTCAGTCATGGCCTCACAAGGTCGTGGTCAGTCTTGACCTCATGAGGTCAATGGGGAGTCATTACCTCTCAAGGTCATGGTCAGTCGTGGTCTCCGAATATTATTTCATAATTATTGCAACACTTACCCGGGCACCACTGACTCCCCTTATCCCCGACACCACTGACTCCACTTACCCGGGCACCACTGACTCCACTTACCCGGGAACCATTGACTCCTCTTATCCCCGACATCACTGACTCCTTACCCCGACACTACTGACTCCGCTTACCCGGGCACCACTGACTCCACTTATCCAGGCACCACTGACTCCTTACCCCGACACCACTGACTTCACTTACCCAGGCACCATCGACTCCACTTATCCTGGACACCACTGACTCCACTTATCTTGGACACCACTGACTCCACTTACCCAGGCACCATTGACTCCACTTATCCTGGACACCACTGACTCCACTTATCTTGGACACCACTGACTCCACTTACCCAGGCACCATTGACTCCACTTATCCTGGACACGACTGACTCCACTTATCTTGGACACCACTGACTCCACTTACCCAGGCACCACTGACTCCACTTATCCCAATAAGTCTACTTACCCCACCCCCAACCCACATCATCACCCACGAAGTAACTACACCCACCCTGATAAATCTCCTCATCTAAACACCAATCTCGGGTCTTTTAATTCTCCAGGACAATCTATCTTTTTTTGGCACTAAAAATCAATGTCGAACTCTGAGTAACGTAAAAAGTTGAACACAAGGTTCCAGATAATTTGACATTCTCGGGTTATTTGACTGTTGAGAAAACAAATATTCATAGAATAACAATTCAACACGACATGTGTGTGGTGGATCGTTGTGTGTCTTCGTGTGTCTTGGTATTTTTAAAATGTGTCTTGATGTATAATTAGCAGCGACACAAGACGGGGACGGGGTGCTGACAAAATTTTTTTTAGTTTATTGTTGCAGTAAGATTAATAGCTTATTTAAGGAGGGGGATCATTATGAACAATATGACGCCATATAAGATAGGGTAACACTAAAATGTGTTAATGGTTTTAGTACATCATATATGTAGCCATATAGTCAGAGGTGGGAAGGGTGACACCCAGGATTACCCAGGTGTCACTCGAGCTAGCGTCATCACTGCGTCAATTGTGTATTTTTACTGTCTGCGTCAGTCTCTTTCAGACATTTCTTTAGGGGCAGTACCCCCAACCCCCGAGCGCATCCATTTTTCGTTACACTCACCCCCCCCCCCCCCCCCCTAGACGAAATAGAAAAAATACAAATTTTTACTTCTATAGAAAATATATACTTAAACCAGGGCGCTCCTCCCCCTCCCCCCCCCCCCCGAAAATTTTAGTTCGCCTCCGCGAAAATTTCAAGCCCCCCCCCCCCTCCCTCCCGGAGAAAAAAATCTGGAAGAAACACTGCTAGGTATGAACTGTCATATACAGCCAGCATTGATTAGGTTAGACTTTTGAACACAGTGACGTCACACGCTAAAAGGGCGGTTACATAATAATTGTGATTTCACCAAACGCAGTTACCCCCCCCCCCTATCTATGCGAACATACTGCCTTTCCCCACCCCACCAAGACAATCTGCAAGGAACTAGCGAAAGGAAGGGGAGGTAATTCGTGCATTACTTCCCCTGTATTGTACACAACAAGAGCCGTAAGGAAAAAAGCCGGAGAAAAAGGAGTTGTTTAATTGGCTAAGAGGTTTCAAACTAACGGCTCTCGCTTTTATCAAAGCCCCATCCATCTCGGTCACGTGCCCGTTCGCATGCTGAGATTAAAGGCTTAATTATCGCCGGCGTCACATCACAGGCGGGCAGCCCACCAGCCCACCTTACGGTTCTACAGGCCCCCACCAGCCCACCTTTCGTCCGACCACTCTCCCCCTCCCACCAGCCCACCTTTCGCCCGACCACTCCCTCCCACTAGCCACCCTTGAACCCCCCCCCCCAAGCCACCCCCGGGCCCACCAGCCCCCCAAGCCACCCCCGGGCCCACCAGCCCCCCCCCCCCCCTCCAATGTAGCCCCTAACGATGTTACCCAACCCAGCAACATGCCTGAACCCGTGGTATTATTTCGTTAGTCAGCTGTGGGATGCCTGTCACATCAGCTCCGGGGTGGGGACGGGGAGACGTGATGGCCAACCAATGGCCTCGTCTCTCGTCCCACGTCGTGTGTAGACTCCGAAATTTCAAAGGATTACTTTGGGAAATAGAGTTAGGATCTATACTCACATTTTAATTCCCTCTTAGTTTTCGCTTCGTAATTGGATTAATTTAAAATCTAATTCTTTACACCCCCTCCCCCACCCAAAAAAACAAACAACTAGCAACACCGTCTTGTGACTTGTGCTAGTTTTTTAAGGTTTTCTACTGTAGTATTTGCACTGTTGTGGCACACATTTTATATCATTTACTAGAGGGTCAATCTAAAGTATGTTTTACATACTAAAAAATGAATTTACAAATAGTTTATATAATCATTATTCAAAGAAAATATATTTTATAAAAGGATTATATAATCATAATTTATAGATAAACTATTTTACAGAACGTTTTCATAAAAGCTATCTGAAGAAAAAAAAAGAAAATTTCGTGAATGAGAAATTACCAAAAAATTAGCATGCATTTAATCAGCACACATTTAATAGATTAAGCGTTTTGATTTGATTATTGGGCCTGGGAGTTAGGCTTTCAAACAAAAACAAAAACTAAAAAAACAAAACAAAAATAGGGACAAGTATTACGCTGGGGTTTGTAGTAAAGATTAGCTCGACTTAGTTTGTACCATGACTTACGTTAGCTAGAGCAGTCAAGTTATTCTTGACATACTCAGCTGTAGTCGAGTTATGCTTTGTTTAGGGTTATATCGTGTTAAGTTATGTTTAGTTTTAATTCGTTCCAGTTAGGATTCGTTTGGTTTAGGATAGCTTTAATAAAAGATTAAGATTAGGTATGTGTAGTTAATCTCCCCGCCTGGCCTGCTTTAAACCCATTCAAAGATCCAAATTTTCATCATCAAATAAAGCCCTGTCTACAAAAACAATGAATAAATAAATTCCCATCTCTGGTTTTTGTTGATTGTAGAGCTCTTCCTCATCAGCTCTTTATATGTGGATGGGGTAAAAACAGAGATGTATGCAAATATCTTAGCTTAAAAAAAAAACATTAAAATATGTTTGGAATCAAACAAAAAAAAAACTGAATTATGTGAAAAATGCAGCGTCAAATGAATCGTGAAGAAGTAATGCATTGAACGATGTAAAAAAAAAATATTGGCGGAACATCCACCTCTCAATTGTGTAAAATGTCAGGAATCAGCGTAAAATATTGGCGAACATCTAAAAATGTCAGTAATCAGCATAAAATATTGGCGGAACATCCACCTTTCAATTGTGTAGAACAGGGGTCTCCAAACAACGGCCCGCGGGCCGGATGCGGCCCGCGTGGTCCTCTAATCCGGCCCGCGGAGATCTTTTTTTGGGTGGGTTTTTATAAGGTTTTAAAAAAAAAGGTTTTTGCCCAAGGAAGACTTTCCTAATATTAAAACTTTTGCAGTTGTCGGCCCCGACAGTGTTTCGTTTGGGGGGGGGGGGGGGTAGACGTTCTTCGGGGGGGGGGGGGGGGATTCGCCAACTCGAAGAAATGCCTGGAAGAATCTCTGGCCCCCGAACTGATATTTTATAGTTAATGCGGCCCTCGGGCTGAAAAGTTTGGAGACCCCTGGTGTAGAATGTCAGTAATCAGCATAAAATATTGGCGGAACATCCACCTCTCAATTGTGTAGAATGTACCATCAGAATTTCAGAATGTTGTTTTACATGAGTCACGGGTTGTAACATGTTTTGTTGTCCATCCTGGTCAGCTTCAGACATTACATCTTGTCCACCTAGGTCAACTAACTGTCCTTCACACATTACATAGTGTCCACCTAGGTCAACTAACTGACATACAGACATCATATCTTGGTCTATAAAGACAAGACAACGTGAGCACACACGTGAGCACACATTGACTCACGAGGCTGTCACTGACCCACGTGACGATGTAACGCACGTGCCTGGAGCATGACGAAGCAAGTTAGCTCCAGCTTAATATGGGTGGGACAAACAGACAGACAGAAATACGGGAGTCACGTGACACAGCTTCAGTTTGACAGATTAAAAACTTTTGAAAAAAAGGAATGCAAAATTTTGTGTCTTGTCTGGTAGTGGGCCCAAAATGTGTTCCGAGATAACAGTAACTTGAAACTGCCTTAAACTGTCACGTGATTACAGTAACTTGATACATCATAAACGTCTCAGTTCAAATCCCAGTCACGTGGGCCGCAAATACACCATTCTGTAATCCACCCTGCTCTAATCTACCCTGCTCTAATCCACCCTTATTTTCCATCCACGCCTGTTGGTGTCCATGACAACAAGATGTCTGCTCACCAACACGTCACGTGTCTCAGACCACCTCTGATACCTTTTCTCTTGACAAACCAAAATCCGTCCTTATAAGTTTGTTGGACTCATCATTCTAAGATTACTGGACACTTGACAGGTAAAAGTATATGCTTTCTATATGAATTCCATTTTGTTGGCGAGGGCTTTCCCCACCCCCACCCCCTCCCGAAGAGCTGCCTGGAAGAAACTCTCTACAACCCCCTACGGTTTACAATCCACGATACAACCCTCAACCGTCACCGACCTATGGCCCCATTCGACTTGCCGGCCCACGACCTTCCGGACGTATGACCTAAAGACATCAACGATAAGGAGATGACAGCGACCCTTAGAATGCCGGCACTATTACAAACAACGTAAAAGCGGCAATCAATCAATGTATCAATAAATATCAGTGGACCTCCCCCCCCCCCCATACACAAACGTACCTTCAGCCCATGCCCGTAAGACGTCGCCATTGCCAGTCCGTGTGTGGACCCATCTCCTGAGGAACTCCGCCCCCCCCCTTCTGTTGACGCCCCCCTTCTGTTGACCCCCCCCCTTCTGTTGACGCCCGCTCCCCCCCTTCTGTTGACGCCCCCCTTCTGTTGACTGCCGCCGAGTCATATTTTTCTATTTGCTCTAGTCTTAGCCAGCCAACAGCTGTGTTTCAACTGTCGTTAATATGAGTTATTTCCCCTGTGCTAAATTTAGACTGACACCCACGACTGAAGTAAACATTGTGTTGGTGGAGGTGACCTTTTCTTGACCAATCTTTAACAGGGTTGGGGTCATCGTACATAGTAACCAATGGTTGTTGTGGTGGTAACCATACACAACAAAATGTGAGGGAAGATTAAACTTGGCGCTGGTGGAAGTTCTAGGTGAAAACATTGACGCTGTCTTTTATTGTGGGCGGTTGTATGGTCGCTACCTGTGGTAGTGATGTCTTTATTGTGGACGGTTGTATGGCCGCACCTGTGGTAGTGATGTCTTTTATTGTGGGCGGTTGTATGGCCGCACCTGTAATAGTGATGTCTTTTGTTCCAACGTTTGGCTCAATGTAACCACCCGCCCCCCCCCCCCATGCATTATATAGGGCTTGGCTTCACATAACCCCTCCCCATTATAGCCCGCCTACCATTTTCTCATTTTTTACACGCCCATGGAACAATTCTTAGAGATTAATTTGATTCATTAGAACTTAGAACACGCTTGACCACCTCACTCACACCACCTTACCATTTCTGTCAGTTAACCAAACACACATACCTGCCGCCCCCCCCCTCTACATTTAACCCCATTGACTGAGTTCCGCCCCTGTCCCCCCTGTACAGGAAACGCTCCTGTGACGTCAACCTGGGCTTCCACTGCCAGACGGCGGAGATTTCGGACTTTGCAGATTTCTACGATTACCTGAAGAGTCCCCACAGTCCAGGCAAGAAGCGGTCAGTTCGTGCAGTGCTCTAAGTACTGGCATCTACGTGCTGGAGGTAGGTCTGTCTGTTTTAGTGTGGGCAGTTCGGGCAGTGCTCTAAGTACTGGCATCTAGGTGCTGGAGGTAGGTCTGTCTTAGTGTGGTCAGTTCGGGCAGTGCTCTAAGTACTGGCATCTACGTGCTGGAGGTAGGTCTGTCTGTTTTAGTCTGGCCAGTTCGGGCAGTGCTCTAAGTACTGGCCTCTAGGTGCTGGAGGTAGGTCTGTCTTAGTGGGGTCAGTTCGTGCAGTGCTCTAAGTACTGGCATCTACGTGCTGGAGGTGTTACGGGTCAGTTGTAGGTTAGACTAGAATAGGATAGAATGATCTAGAATTAGGGGAGAGTGAGTGTGTGAGTTGAGTTTACCCTAGAATATTGTTAACCCCGGTGTGTTTGTGTATTGTTATCCCAAGGTCGAATGCGGTATAAAAGCTGGAGTGAATGGTTGTCAGGGGTTAGTTGGTAGTGGTTAGGTCGAGGGCTATGTTGTAATGTGAATATGTGAGACCTAATAAACGTATTGAACGTTAACCCGAGTCGTTCTTGAATTCAAATCTAACCCGGACGTAACAGGAGGTAGGTCTGTCTGTTTTAGTTTGGTCAGTTCGGGCAGTGCTCTAAGTACTGGCATCTAGGTGCTGGAGGTAGGTCTGTCTTAGTGGGGTCAGTTCGGGCAGTGCTCTAAGTACTGGCATCTACGTGCTGGAGGTAGGTCTGTCTGTTTTAGCGTGGTCAGTTCTGTGGAGTCTATTCTGATGGGGTCTCTTGTGTGAAGTTGTCTGACCATTGTTTCCTCCAGATTTTTTTCATGGTGGGGGGGGGGGGGGGCACTTTAAATGGGGGCCGGTCTAAAATTTCCGTGGAAGGGGGGGGGGGGGTTGGCGGACACTGTTAAAAGTATATATTTTCTAAATTCCATTTCATTCCGGGGGGGGGGGGGGTAGACCTTATTTGAAGAGATGCCTGGAAGAAACTGTTTCCGACTAGCAATTGTCGTGTGTTCTATTTTAAAAAGTCTGCCTATTGTCGTGTGTTCTACTGTAAAGCAGAGTTTGCCTGTTCTCGTGTCTATTGTTTTCAAGCAAGTCTGTTTTGTATAAACCCCAGCATTGAGACATTGCAACAGAAAATAGAACTGTGTGCATGTTTCTTCTTATAGACTCATTCGGTTGAATGAAATACATTTTTAATGATATAACCTGAGGCTAATACATGATTTCATGCAGTTGCACAGTACACACCATCACTCTAATTTACCTAAGATGACGCACTAACGTTTAACATCTGTGCACGGCATTCACACGAACACGTTACAATTTATTTTAAAACTTTTGTCTCGCAAAAAAAAAAAAAAAAACCTTTCTCAATAACTTAGGTTTGAAGTTTATGTGTGAGTTAATCTTTTGTTACTCTGTGCGTGTATAATTTATGTTCTAATGTTTCCTAATTCTTGTTACACAGTGTGTGTGTATGTTCTAATATGTTCTCTGATTCTTGTTACACAGTGTGTGTGTGTGTATGTTCTAATATGTTCTCTAATTCTTATTACACAGTGTGTGTGTGTGTATGTTCTAATATGTTCTCTAATTCATGTGACACTGTGTGTAAAATGTTCTAATATGTTCTCTAATTCCAGCCAGGTCCACCCAACAGCGCCAAGAGAAATCTTGCTACATGAGAAAGACAAGAAACAACAGTGGTGACGTCATTTTAAGGTTGTGATATAAAAAGAAACATTTTTTTTTCAGTTCTATTTTTACTAGTCAAAATATTTTTCGTTGATTTTGACACAAGAAATAAAAGGTCATTTCATAATTGTCTCGTTTGAGTTTTCGTAACTTTTTAAAATGATGCTCATCACGTCTGTCTGCCAGTGGTTGATATTGGGCCGGTACACGGTTGTTGTAGGCTAAAGCCGGGGTCACATCCTGTAAACATGTTTTTGCTAAAGCAGTGTTCACATTGTATAAACAGATGTTTTAGCTAAAGCCGTGCTCACATTCTGGATTTAATTAATTGGCATCAAATATCTACACATTAAAATTTCCGGTGAGCGGATGTTCTTAAGGCACAACACAAATTGACAAAATAAATTTCTGATTTTTTAATAATATATTTCTAGAAACTATAAGCCTACACTGTAAAGTTTTTTAGCTGAAGTAAACATGTTCACTGTTCAAGAAAGTTCACAATTTAAATATAATCAGCCGAAAGTTCACAATGTAAATATAATCAGCCGAAATCCTACGTGAAAATCTGATTTAAAGTAACACGATTTAATAGTCAATGAAAACACGTCTATCTTTAACACTATATTAAAATAACTTGCAGAAAAAACAGAAAGTTCTCCCAGAATTTCACCCACGAAAAAAGCGAAAACATTTTTGGGAACTTCATCTCCCGTGCCCTGCTCTAGCTTGTGCAAGCCAGGCAGGAACGACAACTCTTTCAGCCCAGTCGCTCTGGCTTGTTATGTGTGAAAAATGTTTATCTCTGGGTGTTGCTGTAGCGAGAGAGAAATCCGCTGTTTACGATAATCTTAGAATTCCTCGTAATAAATTTAAAAACAATTGATTTCACCAATGTCCAAACACGTATCCGCACTTGAAAAAAATTATCGCCAAAATCTTTGGAATTTATGGTTGTCTCCCCTAGTCACGAGAATCTTGTCTTCATGTGAGACGACTGGGATGTGGTCTAGAGAAAACCTAGACCACAAGAAAACGTGGACCACCAAACCGTGTCACTGCTGGTCTGTGCCTCGTAGTAAGAAAACCTGGACCACAAGAAAACGTGGATCACCAAACCACTGCTGGTCTGTGCCTCCTGTTCAGCCAGACCACATGCGTAGTCCGAGTGCGTCATTGTCTATAATTAGCAGCACTAATGATGATTACCCGTCAGTTAGCAACAGATGGTAAGGCGGGTTTGTAAACATCTCATATAGGGTCAGAGGTCATCGCTGCTCACACAAGCACACACACACACACACTATAAGGGGTGGGGAAGTCAAGGCTACTCCACACACAAGTACATATACACACATTAATACATGTGTTGTGTAGCATATAATAGAAAATGGTAGCAGTGTGGTTGTGTTGTGTAGCATATAATTATAATAGAAAATGGTAGCAGTGTGGTTGTGTTGTGTAGCGTATAATAGAAAATGGTAGCAGTGTGGTTGTGTTGTTTAGCATATAACAGAAAATGGTAGCAGTGTCGTTGTGTTGTACATCATATAACAGAAAATGGTCAGTGTGGTTGTGTTGTACAACATATAATAGAAAATGGTAGCAGTGTGGTTGTGTTGCGTAGCATATAATAGAAAATGGTCAGTGTGGTTGTGTTGTACAACATATAATAGAAAATGGTAGCAGTGTGGTTGTGTTGTACAACATATAATAGAAAATGGTAGCAGTGTGGTTGTGTTGTACATCATATAATAGAAAATGGTAGCAGTGTGGTTGTGTTGTACAGCATATAACAGAAAATGGTCAGTGTGGTTGTGTTGTACAACATATAATAGAAAATGGTAGCAGTGTGGTTGTGTTGTACAACATATAATAGAAAATGGTAGCAGTGTGGTTGTGTTGTACAACATATAATAGAAAATGGTAGCAGTGTGGTTGTGTTGTACAACATATAATAGAAAATGGTAGCAGTGTGGTTGTGTTGTACATCATATAATAGAAAATGGTAGCAGTGTGGTTGTGTTGTACAACATATAATAGAAAATGGTAGCAGTGTGGTTGTGTTGTGTAGCATATAATAGAAAATGGTAGCAGTGTGGTTGTGTTGTGTAGCATATAATAGAAAATGGTAGCAGTGTGGTTGTGTTGTACAGCATATAACAGAAAATGGTCAGTGTGGTTGTGTTGTACAGCATATAATAGAAAATGGTAGCAGTGTGGTTGTGTTGTACTGCATATAATAGAAAATGGTCAGTGTGGTTGTGTTGTACAGCATATAATAGAAAATGGTTCAGTGTGGAAGCCAATACCTGGAGATTCAGCGCCTAAGTCCACACCCGGCTAAACTCTACTTCATCTAACCAACACATCCTTAGACTGTGCTTACACTAGACCTACATATCCAACTATTCAACGTGCTTGCCACCAATAGAAGGACACAAACCAAAGGTGATTGGGTGGGGAGGTGGTGTTGTAATGTAACTAGGTTGTATCAATCAATCCAATGAAAGCAATCAGCTAATGCGTGCACCAACACAGAGCATGCAGGGCACTAGCCAATTGTTTTCTGCTTGCTACTGCTGTGTGTCAGATGATCAAATGTTCCATCAGACAATAGCACAACATTTTTAGCTGAGTCAGGACTTCAAGTGGCTCTTTCTCAATGGAAGTTTTCTTCACTGTACCTCAGTTAATTAGTCCTTGACCTCATATGTGAGATCAGATGGCAATAGCACTATACCTGACACATACAAACACCCACACACAAGTATAGCACTATACCTGACACATACAAACACCCACACACAAGTATAGCACTATACCTGACACATACAAACACCCACACACAAGTATAGCACTATACCTGACACATACAAACACCCACACACAAGTATAGCACTATACCTGACACATACAAACACCCACACACAAGTATAGCACTATACCTGACATATACATACAAACATCTACACACAAGTATAGCACTATACCTGACATATACATACAAACATCTACACACAAGTATAGCACTATACCTGACATATACATACAAACATCTACACACAAGTATAGCACTATACCTGACACATACATACAAACATCCACACACAAGTATAGCACTATACCTGACACATACATACAAACATCCACACACAAGTATAGCACTATACCTGACACATACATACAAACATCCACACACAAGTATAGCACTATACCTGACACATACATACAAACATCCACACACAAGTATAGCACTACACCTGACACATACAAACACCCACAAACAAGTATAAACCCATCAAGACAAAAACGGGTGAGATAGAGATATTATTTATGATTCATCAAACAGGTAATGTATACACAATCAATGCTAGACACATAGGAACATGTGATGTATGGGTGTTGTAGCTGACACACATAATGTATGGGCGTTGTAGCTGACACACATAATGTATGGGTCTACTGCTGTTGTAGCTGACACACTGGCACAGACAGCATGCTGAGTATCTGGACCGGTCCATCAAAAGATGGATGACCCGCATGATGACCCACACAGACGACACACACAACACATGTCCCTTAAAATATTGCTATATATGTACATGTAAAATGTGTGTTACTCTCCCCCAAATAGTCAGCGCCTGTTTAACATAATTTATTCTTGTTGTCACAACAAAGGCCACCATTTTGAGCTAGTATAAAAAAAAATTATCATTTGAATTCATGTCCCTAAATTCAGGGTATAAAGTAGTTACATGGTCTCAATATAAAATCTTCATTTGATTAACGTATTTGTTTTGTTGATTAAAAACTTCTTTGTTGTGATACACATTTTTTAAGTATTTGAGTACAAAGTTATAAATAGGACCCATCCGTTGCCATGACAACAGACAGGCTACACATGTGTACAGACAATAAAACCTGGTTAAATAAATACTTGTGTCCAGTGGTCATTCAGTGGTCAGTCTACCAATAAATACTTGTGTCCAGTGGTCATTCAGTGGTCAGTCTACCAATAGACCCACCACTGTCCAGTGGTCATTCAGTCAGTGGTCATTTAGTGGCCAGTCTATCCAATAGTCCCACCACTATCCAGTGGTCATTCAGTGGCCACACTACCAATAGACCCACTTATTGTCCAGTTGTATGACCTACCACTGTCCAGTTTACCACAAGACTTTGAATGACCTACCACTGTCCAGTTTACCACTAGACTTTGAATGACCTACCACTGTCCAGTTTACCACTACACTTTGAATGACCAACCACTGTCCAGTTTACCACTAGACTTTGAATGACCTACCACTGTCCTGAGTGGTCACCCTAACATCTACACTACCAATATTTACAACATTGAGAATTGACATGCTAAAACAAACTACAGTGAAACAACCCACCCAACCATATCAACCCCTCCAACCCGTATAGACCAGTCCAACCCAAATGACCCCCACCTACCCACATGACCTCCATCAACCCCAATGACCCCCACCAACCCACATGACCCCCAGTAACCCCTACAGACATCCAGGCCACACCAGTGAAATCAAGCTGTGCTAGCGTCAAGTGAATGAAGGATGGAATGTTTGAATGAAACAATGACTGCACTAGGTCAAAGGTCACAATGTTATCTAAACCTAAACATCAAGTGATTTCTCTAAGCAATTTCCCAACATCCACACAACTTGGGTGACATCTTGACATCACATCCATGATGACATCTTGACATCACATCCATGATGGCATCTTGACATCACATCCTGGATGACATCTTGACATCAATGACATCCTGGATGACATCTTGACATCAATGACATCCTGGATGACATCTTGACATCAATCCCATTCTCGCTGCCATCCATCTCTTGATTCCTTGTGCACAATAAATGAATAAATACTCCAGTGCTGTTCACTTGCTTGTATGTCAACATTCAGGCCACATTGGTGCTGGCCACAGGAGGGTGGCCACAGGAGGGTGGCCACAAGAGGGTGGCCTCATATCCTCTCTACATAATTCTTGGGATAAAATCCAATCTTGTCCCCCTTTTTGCCCCGGCACCAGCCCATCTCATCCTCTGTGGCGATCTGTGTGAAGACATCCCCTGTAGACAACACATTGTACACATTGTACACATCAGACAGTCAGGGTTTTAGGAGCTTAACAACAACACACTATACATATCAGACAGTCAGGGTTTTAGGAGCTTAACAAAAACACATTGTACACATCAGACAGTCAGGGTTTTAGGAGCTTGACAACAACACATTGTACACATCAGACAGTCAGGGTGTTAGGAGCTTGACAACAACTAGTCACAAGCCAGAAGCTTAAGTAACTAACAAACACAAATACACCAACCTCTCCCAAACAATCAACAACCCAGCAATCCACTGACCAGTCAAGAACACATTGACCAACTGACAACCCACAGCCAACAACCCACTGACCATCCAACAACCCACTGACCATCCAACAACCCACTGACCAACCAACAACCCACTTACCAACCAACAACCCACTGACCAACCAACAACCCACTTACCAACCAACAACCCACTGACCAACCAACAACCCACTGACCATGCAACAACCCACTGACCAACCAACAACCCACTTACCATCCAACAACCTACTGACCAACCAACAACCCACTGACCATCCAACAATCCACTGACAACCCACTGACCAACCAACAACCCACTGACCAACCAACAACCCACTGACCAACCAACAACCCACTGACCAACCAACAACCCACTGACCAACCAACAACCCACTGACCATCCAACAACCCACTGACAACCCAGTGACAACTCACTGACCAATCAACAAACACCCCAGAGACAACCCACTAACCAGCTTTGAACTCGAGCTCATCATCCTCGGCCTTGACGTAGTCGTACAACGCCCGCACCATCCATCCCGTGCTTGGTGGCTCCTCCCCCTCATCATCGTCCTCGTCCTCCCCCGTGTCCCCCTCACCAAACGGGTTTTCTCCGTTGTTGACTGGCGAGTCGTTTCTGGCCCTGTAAACACAAACCTAGCTATAAGTATTGGGGAGACTGGCATTTAGTTTCTGGCCCTGTAAACACAAACCTAGCTATAAGTATTGGGGAGACTGGCATTTAGTTTCTGGCCCTGTAAACACAAACCTAGCTATAAGTATTGGGGAGACTGGCATTTAGTTTCTGGCCCTGTCAACACAAACCTAGCTATAAGTATTGGGGAGACTGGCATTTAGTTTCTGGCCCTGTAAACACAAACCTAGCTATAAGTATTGGGGAGACTGGCATTTAGTTTCTGGCCCTGTCAACACAAACCTAGCTATAAGTATTGGGGAGACTGGCATTTAGTTTCTGGCCCTGTAAACACAAACCTAGCTATAAGTATTGGGGAGACTGGCATTTAGTTTCTGGCCCTGTAAACACAAACCTAGCTATAAGTATTGGGGAGACTGGCATTTAGTTTCTGGCCCTGTAAACACAAACCTAGCTATAAGTATTGGGGAGACTGGCATTTAGTTTCTGGCCCTGTAAACACAAACCTAGCTATAAGTATTGGGGACACTGGCATTTAGTTTCTGGCCCTGTAAACACAAACCTAGCTATAAGTATTGGGGACACTGGCATTTAGTTTCTGGCCCTGTAAACACAAACCTAGCTATAAGTATTGGGGACACTGGCATTTAGTTTCTGGCCCTGTAAACACAAACCTAGCTATAAGTATTGGGGAGACTGGCATTTAGTTTCTGGCCCTGTCAACACAAACCTAGCTATAAGTATTGGGGAGACTGGCATTTAGTTTCTGGCCCTGTAAACACAAACCTAGCTATAAGTATTGGGGACACTGGCATTTAGTTTCTGGCCCTGTAAACACAAACCTAGCTATAAGTATTGGGGAGACTGGCATTTAGTTTCTGGCCCTGTCAACACAAACCTAGCTATAAGTATTGGGGAGACTGGCTTTTAGTTTCTGGCCCTGTCAAGACAAACCTAGCTATAAGTATTGGGGAGACTGGTATTTAGCATGTACAAATACACACAACAAAATTATCTGGGCCAAATGTAACCTTTAAAGTCATCTAAAATTAATCTGTTAAGTAGTTAGACACAAAAAATAACTAGGAGATCAATAATTATTAGACATGTAAATCTTATCTAAGCAAAACAAAAGCAGTCCAAAGTTTCTCAGTGGTGTGCTCATGCTGGTGGTAGGATGCTGACAACTTGTCATGTCAAAGTGACATGCCAACATGTCATGCCAATATGACATGCCAACCTGCCATGTGAAAGTGACATGCCAAAAAAGACATGCCAACTTTTCATTTCAACATAACGCTTCAACTTGTCATGTCAAAGTAACAGAACAGTGACATGCAAACTTGCCATGCCAATTTTTCAGTTGGAGCAGATATTGTCATATCAACTGTCATGCCAACTTGTCATGTCAACATGGAGCAAAAACTGTCATACCAACATAAAATGTTAAACATACAAGCACACATCCACTTAACTAAACAACATAATTAAGCCTAAAATTAGATAGCAATGCATTTTCAGTTTTAATAATAAACTCAACATCAAAAGTAAAATCAACTAACTGCCACTATTAAACAGAACACACAGTACACCACAAGCCAGCAGAGTGGTTCAAGTTAAACAAAAAAACATGCTTTCTTAGAGACATGCATAAGCTGAAGGTTAGGCTGCCACGGAACACACAGCCTGCAAGAGATGCCAGCAGTCAAAGAAACAGTGAGCAATGCAAGGTGTCAGTGCCGGGCATGCAGTAGTCCAACAGGCAGTCAGTGCTGGGCATGCAGCAGTCCAACAGGCAGTCAGTGCTGGGCATGCAGCAGACGGCAGGATTTACTTGTCCAGCATGCTCCGTGGCGCTGGGACTGGGTAGCTGGGCGTCCCACAACTGACGACAGAGCCACGCTTCAGCGAGCTGGTGTTGGACGTAGTCTCCTCTTTCACGGAGCCGTTGTGGGCCGCGGTGTGCTTGCTACTTGACTCCTCTATCTGAGACTCCTCTAGCGTACCCTTCTCCTCCTCTTCATCAGAGTCATACTCTCCGAAGGGATTTAATGAATCCACACAAATTGTAGAACTAGCCAAGGGGAAAGGTGAAACTGGGGTCAGATCTTGTCAGGTGGGGGGGGGGGGGGTAGTTGCAGCATTCATATACCTGGTCTGACATGTCATACACTTGGTCTGTCATGTCTTATACCTGATCTGTGCGGTTGCATACCTGGTCTGTCATACACCTGGTCCAACATGTCATACACCTGTCTGTCACATCATATGGGAGAAAGTCAAGCAACACCTTATGAAGGATGTCAGTTAAGATATTTCCATTGGAAATGTCAACCCAATATGTATGGGGTGTGTTAGACATAGGAGAGGGGGGGGGGGAGTTGAAAATGTTCCAATGCTGACTGTCACAAGAATACAATCACGGTATGACAGAAGGTTGAGTGCAGGGTGGTGGAGGGGGGGTCCAGTGGTTTGGTCAGTGATACACTTCTTGTGGGGGTCAGTTGGTGGTGGGGGTCAGTTGGTGATAGGGGTCATGAGGAAGGGTAGGTTAACTTACAACATAGACCTAAATATCCACTGACAGATGTACTCTTTAGGGATGGGCCGCACAAAATCTGTGATGTAAAATCTTCAGGCAAAGAGATTAGGATTAAAGAATTAAGTCCATTGGTTGTTTGTCACTAAACCTCAACCACTTTATCAGGCAAAGATGTAAAGGTTAAACAATGTATGTATCTGTATGTATGTATGCTGGTAGATGGGAACTGAGCCACAATACCAGGCACCATACTTGACTCATCTGTAGACCAACCTAACATCCAACTCTGACATAATCAGAGCATTGAACTGTTAAAACTACAACTTTCTAACAAATAATACCAGCAACAAAGCGCTGAACTAGAACCAAAAAATCACTTACAATAGATGGACTCTGTTTTAAAATAAAGATTCATTCATCAATAAAACAAGATATTCTAAGTAGTAGCAAGTCACCATTCCACCAAAAATAAAACCATCTTTATGTGGCATCAAATCTAATGACAACAGTAACTTCATTCATATTTCAACTAGCTATCTAGCAAACATTATAATCTCATGTCCACCATATAAAAGAGAGACCCACCATATAAAAGTGAGACCCACCTGCCCACCATATAAAAGTGAGACCCACCTGCCCACCATATAAAAGTGAGACCCACCATACAAAAGTGAGACCCACCTGCCCACCATATAAAAGTGAGACCCACCATACAAAAGTGAGACCCACCTGCCCACCATATAAAAGTGAGACCCACCATACAAAAGTGAGACCCACCTGCCCACCATATGAAAGTGAGACCCACCTGCCCCCCATATAACTCACCTGTCCATACTACCACTGGAAGCTGCACCGTGTGAGTTTGAAGTCTGTGATTTGTACGTCTGCTGGGGCTGCTGTTGTTGCTGTGCCTGCTGTTCTGTGTAGCTGCCAAAGCTGTCCTCCCTCGAGTGTTTGATGCTGGTGATCATGATACCACCCTCAGTGGAGCCCAGGTTAGAGCGGCCACGCTTAGAGATGGCCTGTAGCTCAGGGGAGTACTCCTACAGGACAGAGAGGTCAGGGGTTAGAGCGGCCACGCTTAGAGATGGCCTGTAGCTCAGGGGAGTACTCCTACAGGACAGAGAGGTCAGGGGTTAGAGCGGCCACGCTTAGAGATGGCCTGTAACTCAGGGGAGTACTCCTACAGGACAGAGAGGTCAGGGGTTAGAGGTTAGAGCGGCCACGCTTAGAGATGGCCTGTAGCTCAGGGGAGTACTCCTACAGGACAGAGAGGTCAGGGGTTAGAGGTTAGAGCGGCCACACTTAGAGATGGCCTGTAGCTCAGGGGAGTACTCCTACAGGACAGAGAGGTCAGGGGTTAGAGGTTAGAGCGGCCACGCTTAGAGATGGCCTGTAGCTCAGGGGAGTACTCCTACAGGACAGAGAGGTCAGGGGTTAGAGCGGCCACGCTTAGAGATGGCCTGTAGCTCAGGGGAGTACTCCTACAGGACAGAGAGGTCAGAGGTTAGAGCGGCCACGCTTAGAGATGGCCTGTAGCTCAGGGGAGTACTCCTACAGGACAGAGAGGTCAGGGGTTAGAGCGGCCACGCTTAGAGATGGCCTGCAGCTCAGGGGAGTATTCCTACAGGACAGAGAGGTCAGGGGTTAGAGCGGCCACGCTTAGAGATGGCCTGCAGCTCAGGGGAGTATTCCTACAGGACAGAGAGGTCAGGGGTTAGAGCGGCCACGCTTAGAGATGGCCTGCAGCTCAGGGGAGTACTCCTACAGGACAGAGAGGTCAGGGGTTAGAGGTTAGAGCGGCCACGCTTAGAGATGGCCTGCAGCTCAGGGGAGTATTCCTACAGGACAGAGAGGTCAGGGGTTAGAGGTTAGAGCGGCCACGCTTAGAGATGGCCTGCAGCTCAGGGGAGTATTCCTACAGGACAGAGAGGTCAGGGGTTAGAGCGGCCACGCTTAGAGATGGCCTGCAGCTCAGGGGAGTATTCCTACAGGACAGAGAGGTCAGGGGTTAGAGGTTAGAGCGGCCACGCTTAGAGATGGCCTGCAGCTCAGGGGAGTATTCCTACAGGACAGAGAGGTCAGGGGTTAGAGCGGCCACGCTTAGAGATGGCCTGCAGCTCAGGGGAGTACTCCTACAGGACAGAGAGGTCAGGTCAAAATGAGGGGAGGTCAGGTCATGTGTGAGGGGAGGTCAGGTCATGTGTGAGGGGAGGTCAGGTCATGTGTGAGGGGAGGTCAGGTCAAATGTGAGGGGAGGAGGCCAGGTCAAATGTGAGGGAGAAGGTTATTCTTAGACCACATGACTGTTGGTATCTGGAGATTGCAGCTGAGCTTGATAAAGTGGTAAGAATGAAATATGTCCTAATTAAAAGTTTTCAGCTTTCAAACAGTTGTGTCTGGGTTACTTCCCTTATTTAATTTATGGGTTACTTCCCTTAGACAGTAAAACAAGTTTGCATAAAATTACAAACTGGTTTTCCAGCTTGAAATCTTACACATACCTTGCAGCAAACCTATCTTAGGAAAGATTGTCAACCCACCTCAAAGGTTGGCCAGTTCATGGCCATGTCCACCCCATGGTTGGCTGACCACCACTTCAAGTCCTTGTTAGGGTCAACGTTCCCTATGGTTGAATGGAGGTTGGTGTAGATCTGACTAAACCTGTACAGAGGAAACAGACAATAGAGTCATGGTCCATTGGTCATCAGATTTCATGGCTAGTGGTCAATAGATTCATACTTGGGTGTTACTACATCCTAATGTTCAGTTAGTTGACAAAGTCAATGGAGTACACATGCATGTTTTCATCAGTTCTCATGTTCAAATTCCCATGTTTAAATTCTCATGCAGCTACATGTGTATAATTTTGTTTCAAACACTACGTCACAGGCAAACCATTTCACATAACTAAATGTAAATGATACACACAAAAATAGGCACAATAAAACACATCTTATTTTGCTAGGCACAATAAAACACATCTTATTTTGCTAGGCACAATAAAACACATCTTATTTTGCTAGGCACAACAAAACATATCTTATTTTGCTAGGCATAATATAACAAATATATTATTTTGCTAGGTACAATAAAACATATCTTTTTTTGCTAGGCATAATATAACACATATCTTATTTTGTTAGGCACAGTAAACATATCGTATTTTGGTATGCATAATAAAACAAATAAAACACACATCTAACTTGGATACAATACTAGGCACAACAAAACAGCTCTCCACAAATGAGTGAAAGACCATGTCTTACTTTGCTAGACACAACAAAACAGCTCTCCACAAATGAGTGAAAGACCATGTCTTACTTTGCTAGACACAACAAAACAGCTCTCCACAAATGAGTGAAAGACCATGTCTTACTTTGCTAGACACAACAAAACAGCTCTCCACAAATGAGTGAAAGACCATGTCTTACTTTGCTAGACACAACAAAACAGCTCTCCACAAATGAGTGAAAGACCATGTCTTACTTTGCTAGACACAACAAAACAGCTCTCCACAAATGAGTGAAAGACCATGTCTTACTTTGCTAGACACAACAAAACAGCTCTCCACAAATGAGTGAAAGACCATGTCTTACTTTGCTAGGCACAACAAAACAGCTCTCCACAAATGAGTGAAAGACCATGTCTTACTTTGCTAGGCACAACAAAACAGCTCTCCACAAATGAGTGAAAGACCATGTCTTACTTTGCTAGACACAACAAAACAGCTCTCCACAAATGAGTGAAAGACCATGTCTTACTTTGCTAGGCACAACAAAACAGCTCTCCACAAATGAGTGAAAGACCATGTCTTACTTTGCTAGACACAACAAAACAGCTCTCCACAAATGAGTGAAAGACCATGTCTTACTTTGATTCAACACTTAAATCCAAACAATAAAACACACATCTAACTTGGATACAATACTAGGCACAACAAAACAGCTCTCCACAAATGAGTGAAAGACCATGTCTTACTTTGCTAGACACAACAAAACAGCTCTCCACAAATGAGTGAAAGACCATGTCTTACTTTGATTCAACACTTAAATCCAAACAATAAAACACACATCTAACTTGGATACAATACTAGGCACAACAAAACAGCTCTCCACAAATGAGTGAAAGACCATGTCTTACTTTGATTCAACACTTAAATCCAAACAATAAAACACACATCTAACTTGGATACAATACTAGGCACAACAAAACAGCTCTCCACAAATGAGTGAAAGACCATGTCTTACTTTGATTCAACACTTAAATCCAAACAATAAAACACACATCTAACTTGGATACAATACTAGGCACAACAAAACAGCTCTCCACAAATGAGTGAAAGACCATGTCTTACTTTGATTCAACACTTAAATCCAAACAATAAAACACACATCTAACTTGGATACAATACTAGGCACAACAAAACAGCTCTCCACAAATGAGTGAAAGACCATGTCTTACTTTGATTCAACACTTAAATCCAAACAATAAAACACACATCTAACTTGGATACAATACTAGGCACAACAAAACAGCTCTCCACAAATGAGTGAAAGACCATGTCTTACTTTGCTAGACACAACAAAACAGCTCTCCACAAATGAGTGAAAGACCATGTCTTACTTTGATTCAACACTTAAATCCAAACATGAATGCATCTGGAAAAATGTTTTCTTGAAAAAGTCTATTCTTTTCTGTTCAAACTCTTGGCATCTCTTGTATACCTGCACAAACAAACAAACAAACAAACAAACAGTGTTGCTTGAATGGATCAAACACATTTTAAATTCACTACAATTGTTAAATAAACACACATTTTCTGGAGATGTAAGAGTTGCTCTCTGTACATATGTTTAGAGTAGATTTGTCTTCAACATTTTTTATTGATACATTTAGTCTTTTAGAGGTTTTTATTCTTGCTTTGTTTACTTTAGTATTTAGGAATGGTAGAAGTAAAATAGTAAGTGAATATATTCAAGTTTTTAAAACAACAAAGTAAATTATGTGCACAACTTTCCTTCTAAAAGTTTTAATTTTAAAGTTGTTCTGCAGCAAGTGATACACCAACCAATTATCTGCCCTTTATTTGTGTCTGCCTCTAGCTACAATTGCTAACACAAAATCTCCTTTTGTTAATGATTTCAGCAATTTAAAAAAAAAAGGAATACTAATTTAATGTATATTTAGGTTGAAAATGAGATACTCTTGTGTTGTCATTAAAGATGCATTATTTTTTTTAATCTTAAGAAATCCCACCATGAAAAAACGAGTCTAAAAATTTGGAAGACACCTACTTCTGTCATGTCCTCAATGTACTTGGCGTTGTATCCGTTGAGGTCGTTGACAGCAGCGTTGTACTTCTCTCTGGTGCTCTCAACTTCCTGCTGACATTTTCTCAGTTTGTCTTGGAGTTTCTTCAGCTGGAACCATATGTGGTGCATGTCTCACATACGGGGTTTATCTTCTTTTACACATGTGTGTGTGTGATAGGAACTATACATGGTGCATGTCTTACATACGGGTTTTATCATCTTCTATATGTGAGTGTGTGTGTTGAGTTCTTTTGTGTATGTAATGTGTACCAGATTGTGTGTGTGTAATGTGTGTGTAATGTGTGTGTAATGTGCATGTAACCTGTGTGTCATGCATGTGTCACCTGTGTGTCACCTGCATGTACCCACCTGGTCTTGTGAAACTGTCGTGTCACCTCTGGCATTGTTCTCCTGGTTGGCTGTGTGTCATGTGTGTGTCACCTGTGTGTGTCACCTGTGTGTCACCTGTGTGTACCCACCTGGTCTTGTGAAACTGTCGTGTCCCCCCTTGCATTGTTCTCCTGGTTTGCGGTGCTCTTCTCTGTCTTACAGGCTGTGTGGTAATCTTTTCTTGCTGCCATCACCTTGGCTAATCTCTTACCCCAGGGTTTCTGGGCCTGGGGACACACAAGACATGGTTTGTGTCTATGATGCCTGAACTAAATGATATGGTACAATGTGATAATGCAGAAATATATTTTTCAAATTGACCCAACTTATGTCTCATCCACCACCTTCTAATTGTTGTAACAACATATCAGTATGTGAACAAGGGAAATAACTCAAACAATTCAAATAGTCAGGGAAATCTGTGTGGAACAAACAAACTCATTGTCAACTACACATTCTAGGTTAGCTCATTTATCCTTTAAATATTTTTTAGAGTTGCAGTAGGTTTTATTTATTTGAAGGCACAAAGCATTAATACAAGACAGGGTGACACATCAGTGGACAGGGTGAGACGTCTGTGGTCAGGGTGAGACGATGTACAGGCAAGGGATAGCCTGATATAACCATGAAGGTCAATGACACAATGAAGGTCAAGGTCATGGAAATCTTGTACCTTTCTGAAGTTGTCTTCGAAATCTTTTGTCTCTTTAAAATGCATCATAGATTTGTGGTAGTTCTCTTTCTGCCAGACCTTGATGGCGGCGTGGACCTTGAAGATGAGCTGCTCCGCCATTTCTGTGTGCAGCTCGGCGTTGTGGTCAGCCTCCTGCAGGACACCCCGCCACGCCGCCTGCGTGGTGCCGTACTCTGGACCTGGCAACAAGCAAATCAGTCACTTATTATTATATTATACATACTTATATAATAAGGGTATCTACAGCACCTAGTCAAACACACCAGTTAAAACAGACAAGATGACCACAGTTAAAACAGACTGGTGAGACAAGATGACCACAGTTAAAACAGACTGGTGAGACAATACGACCACAGCTAAAACAGACTGGTGAGACAATACGACCACAGTTAAAACAGACTGGTGAGACAAGATGACACCAGTTAAAACAGACTGGTGAGACAAGATGACCACAGTTAAAACAGACTGGTGAGACAATACGACCACAGCTAAAACAGACTGGTGAGACAATATGACTACAGTTAAAACAGACTGGTGAGACAAGATGACACCAGTTAAAACAGACTGGTGAGACAAGATGACCACAGTTAAAACAGACTGGTGAGACAAGATGACCACAGTTAAAACAGACTGGTGAGACAATACGACCACAGCTAAAACAGACTGGTGAGACAATACGACCACAGTTAAAACAGACTGGTGAGACAAGATGACACCAGTTAAAACAGACTGGTGAGACAAGATGACCACAGTTAAAACAGACTGGTGAGACAAGATGACACCAGTTAAAACAGACTGGTGAGACAATTCGACCACAGCTAAAACAGACTGGTGAGACAATACGACCACAGTTAAAACAGACTGGTGACACACATTGACCACAGTTAAAACAGACTGGTGACACAAGATGACCACAGCTAAAACAGACTGGTGACACACATTGACCACAGTTAAAACAGACTGGTGAGACAAGATGACCACAGCTAAAACAGACTGGTGACACACATTGACCACAGTTAAAACAGACTGGTGACACAAGATGACCATAGCTAAAACACTGGTGACGCAAGATGACCACATTTAAAACAGACAGTGAGGACTGGTGAGACAGCCCCTAAAACAGAGGACTGGTGAGACAGCCCCTAAAACAGACGACTCGTGTGACAGCCCATAAAGTGAGGACTGGTGAAAAAGCCCATAGAGACAGTGAGGACTGGTGAGACAGCCAGGACTGGTGAGACAGCCCATAAAGTGAGAACTGGTGAGACAGCCCATAAAGTGAGGACTGGTGAGACAGCCCATAAAGTGAGGACTGGTGAGACAGCCCATAGAACAAAGTACTGGTGAGACAGCCCATAGAACAAAGTACTGGTGAGACAGCCCCTAAAACCAACCTTTGTCCAGAAAATTGTTCCACTTCTTGGCCCACTCTGAGAGCATGGCTGAGTATTTCTTCTCTATCTCACTGCGCTCCTCTATCAACTTCTTCATGTGGTTGCACAGCTGGTAGCCGTTGTCACAGCGCTTGACTGTCCGCATGTACTTGCCCACCTCCCAGAAACTGTCAGTGCTAGACATCTGACCATCATCATTCACAGACATCTTGGCGGCACGCAGATGTTCCTTGTGGCCAGCACTCACCAGCTTGGTTCACAGTCACAGGGAACTGTAAGGATGACACAGTTATATAAGGTCACAGGGAACTGTAAGGATGACACAGTTATATTAGGTCACAGGGAACTGTAAGGATGACACAGATATATAAGGTCACAGGGAACTGTAAGGATGACACAGTTATATAAGGTCACAGGGAACTGTAAGGATGACACAGTTATATTAGGTCACAGGGAACTGTAAGGATGACACAGTTATATTAGGTCTTAGTCACTATAAGTAGTGTAAGAAGTGTGATACAAGTATAGAAGGTGTTTTCATGTGACAGGGGGGGGCTGCAAATATGACATCACTTTAGTGACAAAGATGTGTATTTATACCAATTTAATTAGGTGTACCACAGAGGCAGGGGGTGGTAAGTATTACATGCTTTGTTTGGTCATTTTGCTGGAGAAAAACAAAAATTAGACATTGCCCTAGCAGCTTGGAGCAGTAAGTATGACACAGTTACATTACATATTTCCAAAATAGTATAGGCAGTAAGTATGACACAGTTACATTACATATTTCCACAATGGTATAGGCTGTAAGTATGACACAGTTACATTACATATGTCCACAACGGTATAGGCTGTAAGTATGACACAGTTACATTACATATTTCCAAAATGGTATAGGCAGTAAGTATGACACAGTTACATTACATATTTCCAAAATGGTATAGGCAGTAAGTATGACACAGTTACATTACATATTTCCACAATGGTATAGGCTGTAAGTATGACACCTTTATATTGGGCGTTTTCACATTGGCTGGGATTGAAACATTTCAGTATGTTGTAGTTTACTTTGATGTTGAGAATACATTGTCATAACTACATGCATCCTCCAGGTCTGTGTAGAGAGTCAGCAACACAATCCAGTGTTTAAACTATGTCAGCAACACACAAACAAGGGTAACATGATCCCGTGTTTATGTCAGCAACACATAAACAAGGGTAACACGATCCAGTGTTTAAACTATGTCAGCAACACATAAACAAGGGTAACATGATCCAGTGTTTATGTCAGCAACACATAAACAAGGGTAAGACGATCCAGTGTTTAAACTATGTCAGCAACACATAAACAAGGGTAACACGATCCAGTGTTTATGTCAGCAACACATAAACAAGGGTAAGACGATCCAGTGTTTAAACTATGTCAGCAACACATAAACAAGGGTAACATGATCCAGTGTTTATGTCAGCAACACATAAACAAGGGTAACATGATCCAGTGTTTATGTCAGCAACACATAAACAAGGGTAACATGATCCAGTGTTTATGTCAGCAACACATAAACAAGGGTAACATGATCCAGTGTTTAAACTATGTCAGCAACACACAAACAAGGGTAACATGATCCAGTGTTTATGTCAGCAACACATAAACAAGGGTAACATGATCCAGTGTTTATGTCAGCAACACATAAACAAGGGTAACATGATCCAGTGTTTATGTCAGCAACACATAAACAAGGGTAACATGATCCAGTGTTTATGTCAGCAACACATAAACAAGGGTAACATGATCCAGTGTTTATGTCAGCAACACATAAACAAGGGTAACATGATCCAGTGTTTATGTCAGCAACACATAAACAAGGGTAACATGATCCAGTGTTTATGTCAGCAACACATAAACAAGGGTAACATGATCCAGTGTTTATGTCAGCAACACATAAACAAGGGTAACATGATCCAGTGTTTAAACTATGTCAGCAACACACAAACAAGGGTAACATGATCCAGTGTTTATGTCAGCAACACATAAACAAGGGTAACATGATCCAGTGTTTATGTCAGCAACACATAAACAAGGGTAACATGATCCAGTGTTTATGTCAGCAACACATAAACAAGGGTAACATGATCCAGTGTTTATGTCAGCAACACATAAACAAGGGTAACATGATCCAGTGTTTAAACTATGTCAGTCATGGCACAAATGACACCAGTGACCTGACATTACAGGTAAACAGTAGTGACAGCAGTCGCCTCCCTTTTCCCAGGTGAAAGCAAGACATAAATCTTGCCCTACGCCACTCTAGAATTAAGTATGTGGTAGAGATTAACCACAAGGATATAGGTCACTCTACATATTCTGGTAGGCTACAGTAGGTATTTTAGTTTTATGATGCCACACCTCAGTACTTAATAAAATAGAAAATTCCACAATAGTTTTTGTCACACACATATATATATATATATATATATATATATATATATATCTATATATATATATATCTATATATATATATATATATATATATATATATATCTATATCTATATATATATATATATATATATATATATATATATATATATATATATATATATATATATATATATATATATATATATATATATATATATATATATATATATATATATATATATATATATATATATATATATATATATATATATATATATATATATATATATATATATATATATATATATATATATATATATTACACACACATAACATACTGCTGATCACATTATTCCTTCATATGCAGGGGTGACATAAACAGGTGCACTCTACTTCAACTGTCCCATGAAGGTTAAATAAGGGTAACTCTAACATTGACTTATGAATTCAATGTTTACAAACTCCTGGCCTGAGGAAATGTCAAAACTGCATCAGTGAATGACCAGAGTTGGCTACTATAAAACTTGCTTATAGGAAATCCTTTGAAAGTAGAATCTTGATGAATGTTTGTTTTATACAGATTTACAGAGCTCCAATTATTGGTATGAATACATTCGTTCTGTTGAGTTTAAATCAAAGTGCTTGTAATTACTTATATTGATATTTTTCAAAACACTCCAAATTTACTAAAAAGACAAGTTAGTAAAAATATATGTAACTATTTCTTGACGGAACTGATTTATTTTTCTTGGAGTCTGAGCTGAGTGTTATGGTAAATTTTGATGGTTCTCAAAATGATGATGTGTGGGACACATCACAACCATCACTTTAACCAGCCCACCAGCACAACCTGCCCACCATCACAACCTGCCCACCATCACAAACTATCACCTCAACTAGCACACCATCACAACCTGCCCACCATCACAAACTATCACCTCAACTAGCACACCATCACAACCTGCCCACCATCACAAACTATCACCTCAACTAGCACACCATCACAACCTGCCCACCATCACAAACTATCACCTCAACTAGCACACCATCACAACCTGCCCACCATCACAAACTATCACCTCAACTAGCACACCATCACAACCTGCCCACCATCACAACCTGCCCACCATCACAAACTATCACCTCAACTAGCACACCATCACAACCTGCCCACCATCACAAACTATCACCTCAACTAGCACACCATCACAACCTGCCCACCATCACAACCTTCCCACCATCACAAACTATCACCTCAACTAGCACACCATCACAACCTGCCCACCATCACAAACTATCACCTCAACTAGCACACCATCACAACCTGCCCACCATCACAAACTATCACCTCAACTAGCACACCATCACAACCTGCCCACCATCACAACCTGCCCACCATCACAAACTATCACCTCAACTAGCACACCATCACAACCTGCCCACCATCACAACCTGCCCACCATCACAAACTATCACCTCAACTAGCACACCATCACAACCTGCCCACCATCACAAACTATCACCTCAACTAGCACACCATCACAACCTGCCCACCATCACAAACTATCACCTCAACTAGCACACCATCACAACCTGCCCACCATCACAAACTATCACCTCAACTAGCACACCATCACAACCTGCCCACCATCACAAACTATCACCTCAACTAGCACACCATCACAACCTGCCCACCATCACAAACTATCACCTCAACTAGCACACCATCACAACCTGCCCACCATCACAAACTATCACCTCAACTAGCACACCATCACAACCTGCCCACCATCACAAACTATCACCTCAACTAGCACACCATCACAACCTGCCCACCATCACAAACTATCACCTCAACTAGCACACCATCACAACCTGCCCACCATCACAAACTATCACCTCAACTAGCACACCATCACAACCTGCCCACCATCACAAACTATCACCTCAACTAGCACACCATCACAACCTGCCCACCATCACAACCTGCCCACCATCACAACCTGCCCACCATCACAACCTGCCCACCATCACAACCTGCCCACCATCACAACCTGCCCACCATCACAACCTGCCCACCATCACAACCTGCCCACCATCACAAACTATCACCTCAACTAGCACACCATCACAACCTGCCCACCATCACAAACTATCACCTCAACTAGCACACCATCACAACCTGCCCACCATCACAAACTATCACCTCAACTAGCACACCATCACAACCTGCCCACCATCACAACCTGCCCACCATCACAAACTATCACCTCAACTAGCACACCATCACAACCTGCCCACCATCACAAACTATCACCTCAACTAGCACACCATCACAACCTGCCCACCATCACAAACTATCACCTCAACTAGCACACCATCACAACCTGCCCACCATCACAAACTATCACCTCAACTAGCACACCATCACAACCTGCCCACCATCACAAACTATCACCTCAACTAGCACACCATCACAACCTGCCCACCATCACAACCTGCCCACCATCACAACCTGCCCACCATCACAACCTGCCCACCACCACAACCTGCCCACCAGCACAACCTGCCCACCATCACAACCTGCCCACCACCACAACCTTCCCACCATCACAAACTATCACCTCAACTAGCACACCATCACAACCTGCCCACCATCACAAACTATCACCTCAACTAGCACACCATCACAACCTGCCCACCATCACAAACTATCACCTCAACTAGCACACCATCACAACCTGCCCACCATCACAACCTTCCCACCATCACAACCTGCCCACCACCACAACCTGCCCACCATCACAACCTTCCCACCATCACAACCTTCCCACCATTGCAACTTGCACACC